CGCAGAGCTTGAAAACTAAGGTGAAGCTGTCACCACGTAATCGTGCGCGATTGCATCGTTATGCACTGACCGATGGTCTGTTGTACTATAGTACCGGGTCAGATGACCAACCACGTGTTGAGGGTGCCTCATGATGAGGACCTCAAGTATCAGGATACTTTATGAGGCTCATGATACACCACTTGGTGGTCATTTAGGTCGTGAGAAGACCTACAGCTCGGTGAGCACCCATTATTGGTGGCTTAAGTTGTATAAATGGGTTAGTACATATGTACGCACATGTGAAACGTGTCAAAAGGTGAAGCTCTCGCCTAGTATGGCTGCGCCTTTGGCGAGTTTGCCTGTACCCTCGGGATTGTGGCAGCCATTAGTATGGACGTTGTGTTTGGCTTACCACGTGATGCGGCAGGCAACACTGGGATTGTAGTCTTTGATGACTAACTGAGCAAGATGGCTCACTTAGCGGCTGTGCCGGACTCCATTGATGGAGATGGAACAGCAAAGCTGTTCATGGATCGTGTGTTTCTACAACAAGGATTGCCTGTGGCAATCGTCTCGGATAGAGACTCCGTTTTACGGGCAAGTTTTAGACGTCCGTCTTCAAAGTGCTGGGCACTCGACTGGACATGTCCACGACGGATCATCCGCAGACCAATGGTCAGACTGGACGTGTCAACCGCATTATTGGTGATATGCTTCGAGCGTTTGTGCTGAGCCACCCAAGCAATGGAGCACGATGTCCCACTTATTGAGTTTGCGTTGAATAATGCGGTGCATGCCTCGACAGGCTTCATCCCATTCTATGTGAATGGTTTGGTTAACCCTCGCGTTCCGTTAACGCTACCTCCTGCCACATCAGGGATTAGTGGGGGGAGAGATAGCCAAAGGCTTGGCTGATATCAGCCCTGTTGCGATGAGCAAGATGGTGGAAGCGTATCTGTTAACGCGTTTTGACGTATTACGTCGCTTCAAAGAGGCTTTTGTTAAACGCTAGGAATTTACCGACACGTGCAGTGTCTGCGGTATATAAAACCAAACTACGTCCACGCTTCATTGGACGTTTTAAGGTCATAAGCAAGAAAGGCTTAGCCTCTACGCTGAACCTTTCTCAAGAAGATGCGAACACACCCTGCGTTCTACGTGGCTTTCTAAAGCCATATCTCAACCCAGCATCGGTGGACTTCGAGGGGCTGTCCCCATATCCTCGACCGAAGGAGGCGGATAGTACTGCACCGGAGGTGCATATGGACTCTGGAGGCGTACCAGGAGGTTAAGTTGACATCGAAGCTCGGCTTGAGAACGCTCAATCGCCTCTAAGCGATCCGGGGTCTTAGAGCGATAGCACTCAAGGATCGACGGTGTCGATCGACACGGTCATCGAGCGATGACAGGTGAGACTTCGCCGATACAAGAGCATCACGCTCCAGGAGTTTCAGCGACGCTCAATCTTAGATAGATGAGAAGTCAATGGATCATCGACCTTTTCCAACGCTGATTGATGACCGGGGTCATCAACAGCTCCACGTGGAACGTCTCTTGGCTCGGCGTCGTCACCAGGGTCAAACTCAATACTTGGTGAAGTGGAGGGGTTACCCCCAGTCGTACGACTCGTGGAAGCATGAGGTACTCCTCAGACAGGATCGCCTTGATGCCGTTGACGCTTTCGACCATGACGTCAAAAGCGACGGCAGCTGTCGTTGGATGCTTCCTAGCACTATACTAAACGGGTGAACTAGTGCTTATCTTGTGCAGATGTTTCACCTGGTGCAAGCACCACTGGTATGCCGTTTAGTGGGTTCACGTGCACCCACAGGACTGTCGTATCAGTCGCTCCTGATACAATTTCATCGTAAACTCCTGGAAAGTAAGGATCCGCTTAGGAAGCGCGGCACGATCCGCATCCTTGCAAGCAGCACGGGCATGGGATCCAATGAAATAGGTTCGCAAAGATTGCGATGCAGCTCGTCGAGCTTTCTCGTTGGTGTCACGAGGCATGAACCCATAATCACGTCGTGAAAATGTTTGTTTAGGCCGTGCCAAAGCGGCCGCCTGGGCCTCGTCATCAAGTTGACGACGCTGTGAAGCTTCCAGAGGGTTGAATACATCTTCATCAGTATCCTCTAGCGAGGAAATCGGTGGCGCTTGGCGTGATGCAGTTGGTTCCCTTGGGAGAGAAGGCACCGAACGGGATTGGCGTCTCTCGCTCGGTGAGCGTAGGGTTTGTGAATCCTCTGATCCAATGGAGACTTGGCGTTGCTGCCCCTAGAAGCAACGTCACTGTCATCGTCCCCAATGATGTCTCGACTCATTGCAGCATCCATACTGCAACACGCGCAATAGGGATAAGTGCTATAAAGGAAGGGGTTGAGAACACTGTAATGCTGAAAGGCAAGTGCTAGGCACGTAATGCTGTAAAAGTAAGTGTTCGCGAACACACAAAGGGTATTAATACCAGTGCTAGGCACTAAAAGACTATAGGCAAGTGTCGTAAAATTATATACTGTTGCGTGAGTGCAATGCACTGGATGTTCTAAGAGCAAGTGTCTTAACACTAGAATGATTAGATAGCGTAAGTGCAAAGCACAGGTCCTCAAGGAGAAAGTGTTGAAAACACTAATGCTTTGTTCGCAAGTGCCAGGCACTTATCGCAAGGCAAGTAAAATGGGAAGAAAATCAAAATCGATGCCTTAATTAAGTGCAAATATTCGTGGGTACGTCGGGTCCCAAAGATTGGTGGGCGAGGGTGTAACAAGGTTACACCGAGGTGTGTATTGTACATACATACCTGCCACACTAATGTGGTGTAGCTGTACCTTGGGTACAAAAGTAGGTGATGTGACCGTACCTGAAGTACGAAGGGTCGCATCGTGGCAGAGAGCCACGTGATCACTATACTTAGTTTAGTATATTGACTATACATGTTTGTATAATAATAAAAGTCTAAAGAGCCAGTTTAGTGACTAGCACTAACTATAGAGTAGGTGCTTCAATATTTCGTGCTAGAAGATAAACATTACAATAAATCATTTTTGATTTATAGTAATAAAAAAGCTTTATAAAGTACTGCTCTGTATAGCATTAGTTGCTAGAGGATTGTTCTCCGTGTAGGAATTGTATCTTTGATACTAGCCTCTTGTTGACGCGGTTGCTTGCAACCAAAAGCATAAGTTTGCGAAGCTAGCCTTGCGAGGATTAAGAGACATAAGATGTATAAGCTCTTAAAGCTTGTCTTCCTCTGCACTCAGTGCATAAGTAGCTTGGCTACAGTAGCTCAGCTTCAAGCTTTGTTCTGGGTTCAAGTCTTTGTGCACTGACAAGAACGCATTATGTGACTTCTTAGTGAAGAATTTACTTTCGCCCCGCTTGATTCATATCTATTTATTGTTTACACGTAATTCTGAATCTTTATCACCTTTCCTGCTACCGTATGTCATGGCGATCCCTTGATCCTTATTTAGATTGCGATAAGTGGTTCATGCTGTCTGGAACATAATATACGTTATATGACGTTACGATGTTCTTCTGTGTATCACATTCCACCACATTCTGGACAGTGTCATGACCAAATGGCGTCGTGTCAATAGAAACGATGCACGCTATCAGATGCCATTCTTGTGCAAAAGGCTCGTTATCAAAAAATATCGTAGATCAGTATACTTTTTTTTTTAGATTTTTTTTTTTTTTTTTTTTTTTTGGTTTAAATTTAATAGAACGATGCATATCAGATGCCATTCTTGTGCAAAAGGCTCGTTATCAAAAAATATCGTAGATCAGTATACATGAGCATTTTCAGGATCATCCAGACACTACTGCCAGACTAAGTGGTCACTAGACCTATGACCGCTCTTGTGTTGTCTCTTACCCGTGGGTGCCACACTCTTACCAGTGGGTCTCATCCCCTTCCTTTAACTGAGATTTTCATCAAACTTCGGCTTGCTTGACTGTCTGTGCTCCATATTGGTTGTCGTTAGATTACGTTCTGACTGCAAGTTCTTCGTAAATTTGGCATGTCTTTCATTGTTCCTGGTGGTATTGTGCATAACGGGACAGCCTGTCATTCTATGTCCTGGATGATGACAGTAAAGACAATTTTATTGCTTCTTGTCTGTCACTCAACTGGGTACCGAGCCTCAAAGTAGACCTCGCAGTCGCTCAGGTGTTTTCAACGTTGGACACCAATTTGCGAGCGGCACAACGCGCGGGATCGTGGGGGTAGTCGACAGCGTCGGAGGCGGTCACCATCTTTCTACTGGGTCCAGAGTCCTCATCAACGCCAGGGACATTGGGAACCAATTACTACGAGGCTTCTACGTGTCGTCGTTTAGATAGCAACCCAACTAACGGACCTTATGATGCGTCTAAGTCCGACTCTTCAATGGCACCGAGTCGCTACTCGGGGTATGGTGGAAGGTACCTTCATGATCAACGATACGGTCCACACAACACTTGATGCATCAACCAAGGTAGAGAAGCGTCACGATGGAAGGCCTCTTGCGATGAGCGCCGATTCACATAATCTGATGCCTGTGCCGACAAGCGGCGAGCTGCGGATGCTACGTGCTGAGACTGAGGAGGCGAAGAATGGCTTACTGGATGCTCGTGAGATGGCCAAAAGTGCTTAAGATCGTGCGGCGGCTGCGACGGAGGCTGCTGAGAGGACTCGACGGGAGCAGCAGGTGTTGGTGGATCGTCTTCGCCAACTCGATACTGCCGCTTTTGGAAGGCATCAGCAGAACGAGTCTGCACGCCATCGGGCAGGACTTGGTCCCAGTCGTTGGCAGCGTCGTCACCTGGGGATATCAGATGTTAGGCTGGCATCGAAGAATAAGGAAGGTTCGAAAGAAGATCAGCCGGAAGGTACACTTAAAGGCGCCTGACATAGAATGTCGGGTGCAAGCGCATAGTGGTAGGTATGTCTAGCGTAAAGGCATCTCCATGAACTTTGATAACTCGAAAGGGAACAATATATCTTAAAGTTACTTTGGTGGCGTCCAAATTCGTCACGGATGTGCTTGCAGCCTACTTGTCGAAAATAGGGCTTTATCACCTTCGTTAAATATTGACAGGTGCTTTCGACCTCGCTTGGCCTCGTTCTCTTTTTGCTTGTCGACGGCTTGTTGAAGGGCATCATGTACAAAGCGTGTAATTCCTTGTCGGAGCAATATAAGATCGGTCACAGCAGCCGAGCTAATAAGTGAAGTGAACTCTGTAGGAGCAAAATTAGCTAAGGAGGGCGTGACGGGATGCATCGTGTCGGGACTTGAGACGCCGTTGGCCACAAAATTAACAGCATGAGACGCATCGTGAGCGACCTTATCGACAACGTAATTAATCATCAAATGTTCAGGCGCAATGCCATCGGCAGATACTCCCCCACCAAGCGTAGAGCTCGTGTGTGGTGAATCTTTGAAAGCAAGATGCGCTGAAACGCGAGGGTGCCTCGCGGTGCTCACAAAAAATGTCGTCAATCCTGTTGACGCATCGACTGCATTGTTGATTGCAAATCTGGCGAGTGGAAGGAATAAGCTCCACGACGTGAACGATGTAGCATAACTACGCAGGACATCTTCGGAGCAATCGACTGATACACTCCGTTTACCCATCCGTTTCTGAATGGGCCGCCGTAGACATAAGCAAACGCGTGCCCAGTAATTAAAACAGCCCTGTCCGAAAAGCCGAAGTAAAGCGCGGGTCACGGTTGGAGACGATGTATTCTGGCAAGCCCTGGTGTCTGAATATGAGATCAATAAAGACCTCCGCGGTTTCCTCCGCTGTAATGCGCGCGGAGACTGGAGCAAAGTGCACCATCATGCTAAATCGATCCGCAAAAACCAAGTCGCCAGTAAGATTCTTCTCATACGGTAAATTCCAATGATGAAGTCCATACTGACGGAATGCCAGGCTTCCCTAATATGGAAGCGGTCGTAATGAGGCTTGAGAAGATGGCGGCACATTTCGTAAGAGCGTACCCATTTCTGGATGTACTTGTACATGCGTTTCCAGAAAAATACTCGAGAAATGACCGTTAACGTCTTTCGAGACCCACATGACCACCAGCTGGGGTGTCATGAAATTCATGCACCATTCGCGCTCGAAGGCCGTCATCAGCAGGGACGACTACGCGCGGTGGTTCAAAAACGTCCATATTGTACGTCAGTAGAGGACCATAAAGCCGAAAAGCTTGATGTCGTCACGCTTTAGTAAACGTCATTTTCGCGAGTGACACTTCACTAGGGTGCCGAAGAAAGTAGATAATTTTTGAGTAGAAGGAATCATACGACTCAGCGATCTGAGACCGATAGCACTCGTGTCGAGACCATTGCATTGACCACCAGTTCGGTACAGCACAATCAAATGTCATTGTCTTCATCATCGGGCATACCTGGCTAATGGCCATCGTCGCGTCGTAGTCGTAATCGGGACGCCGAGAAAGCGCGTCAGCAAGGATGCTATTCTTTTCGGGCTTGTAAAACACCACGTAGTTCGACTCTGATTGGAATGACAACTAACGAGCCATACGCTGAGACAGGTGAGGGGTCTTGACTGCGGTTCGCAGTGATGCGTGATCTGTATGTACTGAAAACATCTTCTCGCCGAGTTAATATACCCTGAACTCGATCAGAGCATAACGCATAGCCCAAAGGTTCTATATCGTGTACCGAATCATTTCTTTCGCCAGATTTCATCTGTTGTCGAACCACTGCACCAAATTATTCAAGGCCTCATTGGTCAGTGCTGTGTGAATATTAGTCCAAAACTTCCCCTTAATTGACATCCGGGCACTTCTTCTGATTCTATTGGCTAGCTTCCAGCGAGACATCGACTCTTCGCACCCGGAAAGAATTGAACTCGCGTCAGTTGGGCTCATAATTTAATGTCATACCACTGCACCAAAACGGTCAAGACCTCTTTGGTCACTGTTGTTTCATTGTTTTTCCAACATCATCGGTCGCGACTGAAAACTCACGACGCGCTCTCGGCCCTCATCGTCATATTGCATGAGGGTACATCCAATCGCAAAGTTACTCGCGTCACAAACAACGTGAAAAGGCTTACTTTGTTGGGGGTGGGACACCAGATGACTAGGTATCGGCAAGGTCTTCATAAGCAATTCTAGGCGACTTACTCAAAGTTGCTCAGCCTCTCGCTACTGCTCAGCACGAGATTACTTCACCTGCCATAGAAGACGCGACTCAGACACCAATTGTGGAACACTTGTATTTCAACTCGTTTCATCGCCTGGTGCGACATCCCTAAGTGACACCGATGCAGAACGTTCGCGAATCCAGCTCCACAGCGACTGAAGCGTTCTTGCAACAACGTCAGTCCGTTGTGCGGTATGTGCACGATACTATCGCCTCTGCAGTGGACAAACAAAAAGGCGTCCGCTGATCAGCAAGGACGCAAGAATCTAGAGAAGTTCAAAGTTGGCGATTTGGTACTGTTCTCATCAAATGGAATACGATATGCGTCGATTACAAATCTCGGTGCCACAAAGCTGGCACCGCAATATTTTGGTCCTTTTTAGGATCACCCAAGTCAAGGGTGATGCCTACACACTGGATAGTCCTTCTTCGATGCGTCCTCACCCAACCTTCTATGTTGTCCGTCTCAAGCGTTGCTTTCCGGCTGTTCTTCCGTCTTAAATGGACTCACCGCGGGTGCATACCGCGGTCCCCGATAACGTGGTTTCTTCGTCGGATCAGATTGGCGCAACTTACCCAACACCGCGTTGTCTCAACGAAGAAAGGCATTTAATTGTTCTAGTTGTCAGCACTGTCCATACTGCGCTTGATTCATCATGGAAGACGCAATGCGCAGTGACGTCTTTTTGAAGACGATGATAGTGACGTTGCCTCCGGGGGCAGCGGCGCCGAGGTTTTCGTAGGGTCGTCTGACCCCGCGTCAATCACGCTTACCGATCAAGGGACGTCAATCGTTTTATATGTCCCTTATCCCAAGAGGAACTTCTGCGTTGATTAAAAAACGCTGCGTTCTTCTCCCGAGGGGGACAAACGAAGAAGTAACTGATACTCTTGGCGCTGCTAAGCATCGTCAAAGCGATGACGAGACCCAAGCGGCCTCCTTGGCACGGCCCAATTGAGCACTATTCACGTCTTACTTATGGTTTCGTGCCCCGGGACCCAATGAGGAAGTTCGACGAGCTGCATCGCAATCTTTGCGAACCTATGTCATTAGGTGGGTCCCAGTACAGCGCTGCTTGCGAGGTTGCTGATCGTGCTGCTCTTCGTAAGCGGCTCCTTACTTCCCAGGAGTTTACGATGAAACCGTATCAGGAGAGACTGTCACGACAGTCACGTGGGTGCTTATGCACCCACTGAACGGCATACCAGTAGTGCTTGCACCAGGTAAAACATCTGCACAAGATGATCAACAGTTCACCCGTTGGGTAAAACGAGCATGTAAGCTCAAGTTTGTCAAACTTGCGCTTATACGCTAAAGGGCAAATAGTTTGGTTAGATCGTCGTCTACGTTTTATCTTTGCTAAGCTCAATACGAAGCGCCAATTACCCTCCACATACAGGTCAAAGACTTGTGGGGAGCAAGCTTCGAAGCTGGTGCCCGCACCTTTCACTCGAGTGATGTACCGGCTTATTATTCGGTATTGGTATAATTATATTATGACTAAATCCTAATTTTAAAATTAGATTTTTATTTTCAATCATTACTTAAGTTTATTTTTATCAATTTTAATTTTCATTAATTTATGTTTAGGTATTGACGGTATTCTTCTGAAGGTCAGAGGCGAAGCCAGCCTACTGACCCTACTTTCACAGTACCTAGAGCTAGAAAGCGTCCTACGACAGCTGTCGTCGCTTCTGACGTCAACGGTGTCAGGCAATCCTGCCGGAGAGATACCTCATACTCCCACGAGTCGTACGACTAGGAGTAACCCCTTCACTACACCAAATATTGGGTATGACTCATGTGCGACGCCGAGCCAAGAGGCGTTCCACGTAAAACTATTGATGACCCCGGTCGTCAATCAGCGTCCGTGAGGGTCAATGAATCTTTGCAATTTTTATATCAATAAATAGCAGATATAATAAATAGATATTCTAAATATATTTCTCTCTTTTTAGTTTATGATTTTCCAAACAAAATTAAAGTATTTTTGTTGAAATTTTAAAATTGAGCGTCGCCCGAAAAACCTGAAGCGTAATGCTCTTGGGTTCGTGACGTCTCACCTGTCATTGCTCGATGACCGTGTCGATCGTCACAGTCGATACTTTGAGAGTTGTTGCTCTCAGACCTCAGATCGCTTCGCGGCAATTAAGCGTTCTCAATCTGAGCTACGGTATCAACTTGACCTCCTGGTACACGTCCAGCGTCTATATGCACATCCGGTGCCAGATATCACTAGCTCGCATGAAAGTTGGTAATACCCATCGACTAAGTCGAGGGCACTGTAAATCGTACATCCCACCATATTGTTCTGAAGAACATCCTTGCAAGGAATTGGTGTTTGAGCCGGGATAGTGGCTGCATTCAGCTTATTGAAAGCATGCAAAATTCGCTACTTCCCATTGGACTTTCTCACACAAAACGTGGGCGTTGAGTGAGAAGACTTACTCTCACGCACCATGCCAGCCTCGTGCTTTGCACGAAAGAACTCGTCAATGACGTCACATTGTTCTCGTGGCAGCGGCCACTGTCGCGTCGCACAGCATTCAGTACCTGGAAGCACCAGTCATGTTGGCGAAATTTATGGTCTCGAATGGAGATGCCGATGGAAGAGATGGTGTTGACAAGGGAGTACGAACATGATCACGTCGCCCACGGCGATGACGTGACACAGGAGCACGAGCCGGTTGATATGACACGGGAGCTGCGTCTTGCCCGTGACACATCAATAGCTGCTATTTCGATGCTATCAACAGTCCGGTAGCATTACACTCGATCTCTCCCCGCATTTGTCGTACCACCAAGTTGGAATCTCCACAGATGATCAGTCGCCGTCGTTTTCGAGGCTCTAAAAGGTCGAAACCCAGTTGCATACTCTCCTACTCGGCCTCATTCATTCACTGTAGATGTAACGAGGAACTTCGAGGCAGCATTGACTATGGTCCAATTAGGTAATCTCCATACAATAGTGCTACAGGATCCACCTCCCTGTTTTACCCATCAAGACTTATGACTCTTTCTCAGGCTTCACAGTTGGTGTAAGTTGGTCGACTACTTGCCGCGCCTGTTTCTTGGGAGCAATAGATGACAAAATCGAGTCCACACTCTCGAGAGGAGTAATACTGGCTGCGAGCGCCCCGATTTCTTAGTCCTCGCTCTTCCTGCACTTAACAATCTTTATAGTCCATTGGGACAAGAAGGCAGCCCAATTGCCAAGACGTCCCCGTAATCCCGTAGACCGGACTAGCCAAGGCAATGTAGAATGCCTCGTTAGGACCTTGAGGGATCGAGTGACCAACATCGTAATACAAGTTTTTATTGTCCGTAATGAAGGCAGCACTTCTTTCTTCACTGTACGTTAGTCTAATTCGTTTGCTTAAGGATTCGACTCGTAAAAGTCTCCGGCAATAGAATGACACCATGGTCGTGCACCAACGACGTGGATATGGCCCATCCGCTTGCATAAACGATACTTACTGCCTCCTTGGACGGGTCAAAGTCTCGCAAGATTGGTGCTGTGGCAATCTTATATTGAGCATAGCGAAAGCTGCTTGGGCCCTGGACCATTTCCCCTTGTCTTCTGCCTTAGTCACCCTACTGTCCCCCGTCTTCAACCTACATCGCCAATTGTGAAAATTCACTTCTCGTAACTCATAGAGGATAGATGCATACACTGCATATTCTTCAATGAATATACCATAGTAATTCAGACTTCCAAGAAACGATTGCATGGATTTTAGTGTCATTGGCAACGGTAGGTAGACCAGGGACTGGAGGTTCTTTGGCTGGGCCTCTAGTCCTTGGTCCGAGACCCGGTGCCTTAGGGAGTCTACCTTCCGGTACCCCCCTGAGCTCTTGACCGCGCTGATCGATAGAATTCAATAGTAACACACATTTAATAGCCGTTCAGCCTTTCGCACACACATGTATCCCACGGGTCGGCCGGATCAGAATGTCATCTATGTAGGACCGCCGACCCAGTACCGAGGTGCTCGACTTTACATCAGGCTTCCCCATCGTAAACAAGTCTTCGGTCTCCTCTGTACCAGCTACTTGAGAGATATGTAAACCCATACAAAGCATTATCCAAGAGTCTCTGATATATTTGAGGCGAATTCTTGAGCTTAAATGTCATCCGCAGCCATTCAAAAAACCCCAATGAGGTGACAAAAGCTGAGATCCTTCTCGCCCTTTCGGTCAGGCCGACGACCCAAAAAACCGCTTGCCATGTCCGGAGAGCAGTAACACAATGCTCCGCTCAGGTCCTCCAACAATTTGTTGATCAGAAGCATAGGGTAGACTAAGCTGGGTCAAGTCGCTCACCAACCGACAATCAATACAAAGCCTGATATTTGCCCCATTTTTCTCACGTTAATGACGATTGGCTGGCCCATGGCGAGGTAGAAGGCTGGATGGTCTTCGCAGATAATAGTCCCTTGATCAGATCTGCCAACTTTTCTGTGAACTGGAGGGCCACCTTCCGTTCAC